CTTTTTTCTTTTTAAAACGCCTCAAAAAGCGCCATTTTGTCCCAAAAAAGGACTTTTGATGAGAATTGTCTTTTTCCCAGCACTTTCGCCCCACTTTGTCTCATTTTTTGACCTTTTTGTCCCCCTTTTGTCTCTTTTTTTCGCCTTTTTGTCTCTTTTTTGTCGCCTTTTTGTCTCCTTTTTGCTTCCAATTGTCTCTTTTTGAATTTGATTTTCTTTTTCGTTTTTCCGTTTTCAGAGGGCCTCAAAAAGCGCCATTGTCCCGCAAAGAGGGGATTTCGCGCGAGTGAAGCGGGGCCTGTACGGGGGCGATTTGGCCCAAGTCCTTTCTGCAGACCCTCAGGGTCTTTTTGCTTCTGTTCGTTTAATTCCCCGAATTGATTTGCAACTTCTTCTCAACAAGTCTTCAGTGAGTTTTGCAATCCAAAAAACCCTTTTCGCGATTTCAAACCCTTCAAATAGATCCCTCTAGCTCTTCCTAATTCTTCCTAAACCCTAAAAACACTCTTTTAGGGTTTACCCCACTTCCAAACCCTAACAACACTTTTCCGGGCTCTTTCTAAACCCTAAAAACACCCTTCTAGGGTTTTCCCGCTTCTAGACCCTAAACACACTCTTTTGGGGTTTTGCAGCTCTTTCTAAACCCCATAAACACTCTTTTAGGGTTTTGTCACTTCTAAACCCTAAAAACGCTCTTTTAGGGTTTTGCAGCTCCTTCTAAACCCTCAAAAACCCTTTTTAGCTCTTCGTTTTAATTCCTTTTAGTTTCCTTTAATCTCTTTTATTTTTTAATTCTTTTTAAGTTTTTTTAATTCCTTTTATCTTTTTAGTTTTCTTTAATTCTTTTTAATTTTTTTAAATTTCTTTTTAATTTTTTAAATCCCTTTTTATTCCTTCAACTCCTTTTTAATCTTTTTTACTTTCTCTTAATTTCTTTTTCTTTTTTTAAATTTCATTTTTTTTAATTTCTTTTTTGTTTTTTTTTAATTTGTTTTTTGTTTTTTCTTTTTTCGTTTTTCCTCTCCCCTTTGAATTCTTTTTTCTTCCTTTTTCCTTTTCTTCTTTTTTTGTTCTTTTTTCTTTTTTTCTTTTCTCATTTTAATTCCCTTTTGTTTTCTTCATTTTAATTCTTTTTTCTTTCATCTTTTTTTCCTTCTATATTTATTTTATTTTAATTCTATTTTCTTTTATTTCTTCATTTTAATTCTATTTTCTATTTTCTTTTATTTCCTTTTAATATTTTCATTTCCTTTCCTTTTTCTTTTATTTTTTCGATATTCTGTATTTAATTTAATTTTCTTTTCTTTCTTTTTATTCTTTTTTCTTCTGTTAGCTTCTTTTAAATTCTATTTTCCATTTTCTGCATTTCAATTCCATTTAATTTCATTTTTTCATTTTGACTTCACTTTATTTCAAATTTAAAATCTTAACTTCATTTCCTTTCAACTTCCCCATTTTAACTCCATTTTCTTTGATTTTTCTCATTTTAACTTCATTTTTTTTCCTTCTTTCACCTCAATTTAATTTAATTTATCTTTTTAATTTCAATTCCATTTAATTTAATTTAATTTTATTTTATTTTATTTTATTTGATTCTATTTTTTTGCAAAGAGCACTGAGGCGTTGGGGGCGCGTCGAGCAAAAGGGGGAAAACCCGAAAAGCGCTTTTTCGACAGAGACAGAGTCGACGCCAGTGGCGGCCAAGTGGAGCAGGGTTTGATTCCGGGGACAGTCAAGTTCGCCGGTGGGCTCTAAACCCTAGCTAAACCCTAAACCCTAAACCCTAAACCCTAGCTAAACCCTAGCTAAACCCTAGCTAAACCCTAGCTAAACCCTAGCTAAACCCTAGCTAAACCCTCGCTAAACCCTAGCTAAACCCTAGCTAAACCCTCGCTAAACCCTCGCTAAACCCTCGCTAAACCCTCGCTAAACCCTTGCTAAACCCTCGCTAAACCCTCGCCAAACCCTTGCTAAACCCTTGCTAAACCCTCGCGAAGTCCCGCTTTCGAACGCCCCCCAAGCCGCTCTCCAAACCCTTTTTTGGGGTTTTCTCGCGCCGTTTTTGCTCTTTTGGGGTTTTTTTTGTCTCTTTTTGAATCTTTTTTTCTGCTTTTTTCTGTTCTTTCTGTCTTTTGCAATTCCCTTTCCTCTGAAGTTCTTTTCTTCTCCAAATTCCCCTTTTTTGCTTCCAGGATTGACTTTTGAAGAAGCAGGATATATCATTCGCCGCGTGGCCCTCCGCCACTTGCTGCTGGGCCCTGCGGTCTCTCCGACCCTTTCTGAACTCCGAGACTTCTGCCAAAAAATGTCCGAAACCGACAGAGAAGAGACTCTTGCAGGTCAGCATTTGGGGCCCTTTTGGGGCCCCCAGGGGGCCCCCAGGGGGCCCCCAAGGGGCCCCCGAGGGGCCCCCAAGGGGCCCCCAAGGGGCCCGCAGGGGGCCCCAAAGGGGCGCCTTTTCATTCGCTTTTGTTGGCTTTTTGCGGCTTTTGTGGATCTTTTTTTGCGGTTTTTTGGAAGCTTTTTGAGGAGTTTTTGAAGAGTTTTAGAAGAGTTTTGAAAGACATTTTGAAGAGACTTTGAAGAGTTTTGAAAGAGCTTTTGAAAGAGCTTTTGAAGTGTTTTTGAAAGGTTTTAAAAGACCTTTTAAACACTTTTTGGAAACTTTTGAAGGGCATTTTAAAGACTTTTTTGGCTGTGTCTAGGCCTTCTTTTTGTCTCTGTTTTTGTTTTTTTAAATTCTTTTTTTCTTTTTAATCTCCTTTTTATCTTCTCTTTTATTTTGTTTCATTTTCCTTTTAATTTCCTTTTAATTTCCTTCTAATTTGCTTGTTAATTAGATTTAAATGCATTTAATGTCTTTTTAATTGTTTTTAAATTCATTTTTAATTCTTTTTGTCTTTTTATTCTCTTTTTGGATCATTTTTCTGCTTTTAAGTTCCATTTAATCCTTTAAATGCATTTAGTGTCTTTTTAATTGTTTTAAATTCAATTTTAATTCTTTTTTGTCTTTTTATTCTTCTTTTTTCCTCTTCAGCTCAAAAACCTTTGCTGAATCCTTTGAAGTCTTTTTTCGGGTTTTTTGGATCATTTTTTCTGTTTTTGAGTTCCATTTATGTCTTTTTAATTGTTTTTAATTTAATTTTAATTCTTTTTTGTCTTTTTATTCTTCTTTTTTCTTCTTCAGCTCAAAAGCCTTTACTCCAAATGCTGAAGCAGCAACGCAGCGCCTTCAGGCTGGGCGACAGGGTGTTGGTCATTCAGGTGTCTGTACACCTGAAACATTAAATCCATTTTTTTTGTTTTTTGTTTTTCTTAATTCATTTGGTTTGTTTGTTTTATTGTTTTATTATTTATCTTATTCATTTATTTTATTTATTTTATTTATTTTATTTATTTTGTTTATTTTATTTATTTTATTTTTGTTTGTTATTCGTCAAGTGTCTCCTTCTGTTGTTTTCTTTTAACTTCGGCATTAAATCAATTTTCCTTTTTTTCTTTTTCTTCTTTTCTCTTTTTTATTTTATTTTTAATTTCTTCTTTTCCTTTTCATCTCACTTGTGTTTTCTTTTATTTCTTTTTCTTTTTTTCTTTTTTTGTTTTCCACCATTTCCCCATTTGCTTCCAAAGTATTCATTTATTGTTCCTTTTTGTTCCCTTTTTTTCCTTTCTTATTCTTGTTTATTCTTTTTTATTTTTATTCTCTATTTTATTTCAATTCAACTTTAATTCTTATTCGAATTAATTCAATTTAATTCAATTTAATTTAATTTAATTTTGTTTTATTTACTTTTATTTATTTTATTTTTATTTATTTTATTTTTAGGGAGAGCTGCAGGGCCTGAGGGGAAAAGTCAGCCGCCTGCCGCAGAGCCAAGAAGAAGAAAGAGACACTCAAATTCAAGTGACCCTCGACGAAGGAGGTTTTGGAGATGTCAAACTCAAAGTACAAACCCTAAACCCTAAACCCTAAACCCTAAACCCTTGCTTCGTCCTAAGCCCTTAATTTGGTTTTTGCTGGCGTTTTCGGGGACCCCAAACTCAGCGTACAAACCGTAAACCCTAAACCCTGATATTTAGTGACCCTCGGCGAAGGAGGTTTTGGAGATGTCAAACTCAAAGTACAAACCCTAAACCCTAAACCCTAAACCCTTGCTTCGTCCTAAACCCTTAATTTGGTTTTTGCTGGCGTTTTCGGGAACTTCAGACTCCACGTACAAACCCTAAACCCTAAACCCTAATTTCACGTGGCATGTCAAGTTCGAAGTACAAACCCTAAACCCTAATTCCGGGTTTTTCAGACGACAGCTGAAAGTTCTTACCTGGTTCCTCAATCTCATGCCAGGGCTTGCTTCATCGAGAGTTTCTAAAACCCTTCCTTAGGGTTTAGGGTTTAGGGTTGAGGGTTTAGGGTTTAGGGTTTAGGGTTTTGCGAGCAGGTGTCCGAAATCCGCAAAGACTTTCGAGAAGGAGAAAGTGTTAAAGCCCTTCACGGAGTTAATGCGGGAAGAAGTGGTTTAATAACTCACATTGACAAGCAAACCCTCGTGGCCACCATCTTCTCGCCTTCAACTTATTCCGAAGTCCGAATCTAGGGTTTAGGGTTTAGGGTTTAGGGTTTAGGGTTTAGGGTTTAGGGTTTGGGTTTGGGGTGGATGGGGAGAGTTGTAGGCGCAGTGGTTTAATAACTCACATTGACAAGCAAACCCTCGTGGCCACCATCTTCTCGCCTTCAACTTATTCCGAAGTCCGAATCTAGGGTTTAGGGTTTAGGGTTTAGGGTTTAGGGTTTTGGATTTAAGTGTCTGTATTAGAAGAGAGGGGTTGGGGTTAGTGGTTTGGGTGGCTTGTGTACAAATGAGTGTTTGGGTTCAAGGGTTTAGGGTTTACTCAGGAGAAGTACTCCAGCGTTTAGGGTTTAGGGTTTAGGGTTTAGGGTTAAGGGTTTAGGGTTTAGCGTTGGAGGTTGGAAAAGAGCACGCCAGGACCCCGGGCAGAGTCTAAGTGTTTGCAGTTGCTGCAGTGTTTGCTGCTGCAGTGTTTGCTGCTGCTGTATCTGCTGCTGCAGTGTTCGCTGCTGCTGTATCTGCTGCTGCAGCGTTTGCTGCTGCAGTGTTTGCTGCTGCAGTGTTTGCTGCTGCTGTGTCTGCTGCTGCAGTGTTTGCTGCTGCATCTGTTCCACGGCAGCTCCGCGCTTCATTTCCTGCTTGCCCCCCCTGCTGCGTGTGCTGCTGCTGCTGCTGCTGCTGCTGCCGCTGCTGCTGCTGCTGCTGCTGCTGCTGCTGCTGCCGCTGCTGCTGCTGCTGCTGCTGCTGCTGCTGCTGCAGTTTCGGTGTTTGCTGGAGTCTTTGACTCTGGCTGCGGAGAGCAGCAGCAGCAGCAGCGGGGCCTCGAGCTACCGGGGGTTTTCTTTGTTTACTTTCGTGGAGTTGGTTTCCAAAGAAAGGGGTTTGCTGCTGTTCATAGACGCTGCTGCGCGTTCTGTGCAGCTGCTGACTCCCCACAACTCGCTGCTTGCTGCTGATGCTGCAGCACTTTCCCAAACCCTAGACACATCTTTGCAAACAGCTCCAGACGCAGATGGAAGATTAATAGAGTCCAACTCTTTAGTTCGCGTTCTTTGCCAGGGTTGTCCGAGTCTTTCTTGCGTTTGCGGGGGTTCGGGGGCCCCTAATAGAGTCCAACTCTTTAGTTCGCGTTCTTTGCCAGGGTTGTCCGAGTCTTTCTTGCGTTTGCGGGGGTTCGGGGGCCCCTGGGGGGCCCCCACGGCCTCGAGGAACAGGCCCAGGTCCTCCACGTTTGGAAAGAAACTGTTTTCGTCCGTTTTAAAAACAAAACGGAAAATAGGGGAATTGTTGCAGTCAAAGCAGCAGCAGTTCGCGTGGCAGCAGCACAAAGTGTCTTCAGGGCCCCCAGGCCCCTGTGGGGGGCCCCCGGGGGCCCCCAGGGGGGCCCCCAGGGGGGCCCCCGCGGCGCGGGGGGCCCCGGGGGCCCCCGCGGGGGCCCCCGCGGCTTCCGACTCGGCAGAAAACAAGACCCTTTGGTTGGAAAACAAATTAAAGTTCAAAAAGGAAAACATAAAGGAGTTATTGCAAATGTTCGATCTGTGGATCGAGATGATGTGACGTGAGGGTTTACGCGAGGGTTTGAAACCCTTTTTTGTGGTTTGGAGTTCTCTTTTTTGTTCTTTTCTGCTTTTCTTTTTTGAATTCTTTCCGTCTTTGGCTTTTTTTCTTTTTCTTTTTTTCTTTGAATCTGGTTCCCTCTCTTTGTTATTTCTCTTGAGGGTTTTATTTATTTATTTATTTGTTTGTTTATTCACTTATTTATTTATTTTTATATTTGATTTATTTTTGATTCATTCATTTATGTATTCATTTGTTTATTTATTTTATTTGTTCATTTATGGATTTATTTATTTACTTGTTATTTATTTATTTATTTATTTATATATTTATTTTTTGTTTTATTTAGAACTGTTGTTTTGTCGCTAATTAATCAGCATTTTGGCTTTTTTGTTTTTCATTTAAATTGAAGAAATAAAGAAAATGAAAATAATAATAAATGAAAATAACAATAAATAAAAATAAATTTAAATTAAAAATTGCAATTAATTAAATATTTCTTTTTTTCATTTCAGGGTTTTACTCCAAACCAAATCTGAAGTCGTCAAGATCCCCAAAAGCGACGTCCAGGTCCTGGAAACCGGCAGAGACTACGCCCGTAAGGGTTTAGGGTTTAGGGTTTAGGGTTTAGGGTTTAGGGTTTAGGGTTTGGCCGGCGTCCCAGGCCCGCACCAGTCCGCCTCCCCCTTTGAAGAACCCCAACTTAAAAAACCAAAATAACATAATTAATTGATTAATTAATTAATTAATTAATTATATATTTATTTATTTATTTATTTATTATTTATTTATTTATTTGTTTATTTATTTATTTGCTGCTGCTGCTGCAGGCGCCGTGGGGGCCCTCGGGGACTCTTGGGTGGAGCCTTTGCGGGGGCCCCCCTGGGGGGGCCCCTTTGAAAAAGGGGACAAAAAAGGGGACAGTTTTCAAACCCTAACTCCTCTTTCAAGTGCCATTAATTCTTTGCCTCCTTTATCTCAACAAAGCCAGCCCGAAACCCCAAACCCTGTTGTCGACGCACTCATTGACGAAGACGCCGTGTCAGGCTCTAGGGTTTAGGGTTTAGGGTTTAGGGTTTGGGGTTTAGGGTTTAGGGTTTGGGGTTTGGGGTTTGGGGTTTGGGGTTTAGGGTTTGGGGGCTGGGCAGGGGCCGGAATTCTGGGGAGGCTGACAGCGCCAGGGCTTCCCGAGGAACCCCAGGAGCAGCTCCGAGGGTTTACGTCTAGGGTTTAGGGTTTAGGGTTTAGGGTTTAGGGTTTGCGGCGCAGGTCTTTGAGCGACTTGTCGGTGTCCTTAGGAAGCAGCTCCATGTCCATCTCTGGGGCCTACAGCAGCAGAGATAGGGGTTTAGGGTCTGTGGCTTCTGCTGCAGGAGGCAGCAGCAGCAGCAGCAGCAGCATGAGGCTTTCGAGTGCAGCAGCAGCAACAGCAGCAGCAGCAGCAGACCGACACGAGCTGCCGCCCTGGTGCCTCAAAGGCGTTCTTGTGAGGGTCATTCGAGGCCCTCACTACCCTAAACAGGTAAACAGCAGCAGCAGCAGCAGCAGCAGCAGCAGCAGCAGCAAAAGCGCCAGCAGCAGCGGCAACAGCAGCAGCAGCAGCAGCAGCAGCAGCAGCAGCAGCAGCAGCAGGCCCCTGCTGCTGCGGCCGATCTGCCGTTGGTTCGCTGTGTGGTAGGGCTCAGCTGCAGCTCCTCGAGCTTTAGGGTTTAGGGTTTAGGGTTTAGGGTTTACCAGGGTTTTCTACTGGCTCCTAGGGTTGGCAGGGCTTGCTAGGGTCTATTAGGGTTTAGGGTTTAGGGTTTAGGGTTTGGCTGCAGGGCGTGTTGGTATCAACGGACAGCCAGCGGGCTCGAGCTGTGATATCTTGTGGCGGAAATTTTTACACGACGGAAATAAAAGAAATAGAACCATTAGAAGTAACTCAGGAAAAGCAAACGGTATTTGCAATTATTTGTTTTTAAACCCTTTTAAACCCTTTTAAACCCTTTTAAACCCTTTTAAACCCTTTCTAAACCCTTCTAAACCCTCGTAAACCCTTCCAAACCCTCCGGAGCCTTCTAAACCCTTCTAAACCCTTCTGCGTTCTTTCGGTCTTTTTAAACGCTTTTAAACCCTCGTAAACCCTTTAAACCCTTCTAAACCCTTCTAAACCCTTTTAAACCCTTCTAAACCCTTCTAAACCCTCCTAAACCCTTCAAAGTCTTTTTGTGCCCTTTTAAACCCTTTTGAACCCTTCAAAATCCGTTAAACCCTTTTAAGCCATTCTAAACCCTTCTAAACCCTTCTAAACCCTTCCAAACCCTTCTAAACCCCTCTAAACCCTTCAAAACCCTTCTCCGCTTTAAACCCTTCTAAACCCTTTCAAACCCTTTTAAACCCTTCGAACTCATTTCTGGTCTTTTTTGTTTCTTTTTCTCTTTTTGTTTCTTTTGCCTTTTTACATCTTTCATTTTCTTTGACCATTTTAATCTTCTTTTATTTTTTATTTTCTTTTTATTTGCTTCTTCTTTATCTCTTTAGTATCCTTTCTCTCCTCCAGAAGCCCCCAAACCCCAAACCCTAAACCCTAAACCCTAAACCCTAAACCCTAAGGCGTTGCGACGCGCGGGCGTTTGGGGCTGCATGCGCTGGGGTGTCTGTACAGGCGGTGGTGACGAGGCTGGAAAGTGCTTTTTATTCTTCTTTTGTTTTTGTCACTTCTTTAAATTTGGAAAATAGTTTTTGTTCTTTTTTGTTGGATGGAAGGGAGTTTTCGTGCAACTCTCGAGACCTCAAACAGGCCCAAAAGATTTAAACTTTTATTTTTATTTCTTTATTTTCTTTTCAACTTTTATTCTGTTTTTTCTGCAACTTATTTTTCAATTCTTATTTCTTTTTTCTCTTCTTATTCAACTTTTGCTCAACTTTTATTTTCTTTTTCTTCAAGTTTTATTTTTTTCTTTTTCGACGTTTATTTGTTCAATTTTTATTCTTTACCATTTCTTTGTTTAATTTTCATTTTCTTTTTCTTCTTCTTTTTCAACTTTTGTTTCTTCAGTTTTTATTTTCTTTTTCTTTTTTCTGTTTTTACTCTCCCTGTTTTATTCCTTTTTTCTTTTGCAACTTTTCTTCGACTTTTCTGCGAAACTCTTTTTCATTATTTGGCGTTTTTCTTTTATTTCCAAAAAGACCCTTTTTGCCAACTTTGAAACTTTTCCTTTATTGCATTAAAAAACAAAAGAAGAAAAAAAAACAATTTATGTTTTGCATGCATGCAAAACAGCAAACCACTTTTCGGACTTTTCCCCAATGCTATCTTAATTTGTTTTTGTCTTTCTTTTTCCTTTTTGCATTTTATTCTATTTCTTTTCCATCTTTATTTCTTTTGTCTTTTCTCCTTTTATTTATCTTTATTTCATTTGTCATTTTTACTTTTTTCATTTTTCGCTTCAAAACTTTCAAAGTTTTGCCTAGCGTTTGAGGTGTACGTACACCCCAACGACGCATGCAGACAGGCGAGTGTAAAAGTGCGAAAAGAAAAAAAGTGGAATTAAAATTTCAAATAAATAATTCAAAACAAAAGATAGGTTGAAATTCGACAAAATGGAATTTCTAAATGCTTTTTTAAATGCAATTGAAGCAATTAAAGGACTATTTCAGCACTTGTAAATTAATTACATTTCAACTTTGCATTCATTTATAAAATATAATTTTATTTCAAATTGCCATTTATAAAATATAATTACATTTCAAATTTGCATTTATAAAAAATAATTATATTTTAAATTGCTTTATTTTAAACTCCAACAAATTCTCGAGCTGCTGCTTCAAAGCCGGGCCGCTTGAGCTGTACGTACACGAGGCTCTCGTGCAGCGCAGCAGCAGCAGCGCAGCTGCTGCTGCGCCGCTGCTGCTGCGCTGCTGCTGCTGCGCTGCTGCTGCTGCTGCTGTGCTGCTGCTGCTGATTTGACAGGTGGTTGCAGCTAGCTGCAGCTACGGAGTGGCAGCTAGCTGCCTACTGCCTGGCTACGTAGGCGCAACTGGGCGGCTAGCTAGCTAGCCATAGCTAGCTGGTTGGCTAGCTAGCTAGCTAGCTAGCCATAGCTGGCTAGTTGGCTGGCCATAGCTAGCTAGCTGGCTAGCCATAGCTAGCGAGCCACAAAACCATAGATAGTTAGCCACAACCGCCTAGCCATGGCGAGCTAGCCACAACCGTATGGCCGTAGCTAGCCGGCTAGCCAGCTAGTTGGCTAGCTAGCTGGCCGTAGCTAGCTGGCTAGCCAGCTAGTTGGCTAGCTAGCTGGCCATAGCTAGCTGGCTAGCTGTGGCTCTCTCCTTACCTACGCCTCTACTGAGTGTTTCATTTCTTATTTGTTGCTAGTGGCTGTTGCGCTAATAATATTAATTTAGGAAAATGAACTAATAATGGTTGAAAAGCAAACAAACAAATAAACAAATAAATGAATAAACATAAATGGCCCAGTTAGTCGAGAGCTGGCGTTTTAAATTTGGGGTGTACGTACACCTCAGAGCCTGGAGGTCGTGAAGACCGTCGCCGTTCGTTCGCTCACTTTGGAGTTCTTCTTTTAATTAATTTGAATAAAAAGTGAAATAAAACAATTAAATTAATTAAATTGGCCAATTAATTGTCTTTTAATTCGAAAAAGGAACTCTCCGCCCGCGATTTCAGCAGCAGGCTGAGGCAGCAGCGCAGCAGCAGCAGCAGCAGCAGCAGCAGCAGAGGGGCCCCCAGGGGGCCCCCTCTGCCGCAGCTGCTGCTGCGTGAGCTCTTTTTAGTTAGTTTTATGTTTCATTTTCCTTTTCTTTATTTGTTTATTCTTTAAAAGTAAAATAAGTCAAAAAGAGCTGACTCGTGTCAGGGTTTGGCCTGGCTTGGGGTGTATGTACACCAGCTGCCTATACACCCGAAACCCGCCGCCCAGTGAACCCCACAGAGGCCCTGCAGCAATGAAGCGCGCCCTTCCGTGGCTGCTGCTGCTGCTGTTTGCTGCAGCAGCAGCAACAGCTGCTGCTGCTGCTGCTGCTGCAGCCAGCCAACAAGGTGTACAGACACCTAAGCCTCAGAGCTGCCCCGCCTTCGCCTGGCTGCAGCAGGAACTTTCTTACTTCCAAGGGCCCCTTTCTGCTGCAGTAGACGAGCCAGCAGCAGCAGCAGCAGCAGACACAGCAGCGGCAGCAGCAGACACAGCAGCAGCAGCAGCAGACACAAAAGCAGCAGCAGCAGACACAAAAGCAGCAGCAGCAGACACAGCAGCAGCAGCAACAGACACAGCAGCAGCAGCAGACACAGCAGCAGCAGCAGACGCAGCAGCAGCAGCAGACCCCAACGCATCTGGCGTCTATGTGGAGCTCACAGAAGAGGCCCTCAATCTGGCCCTCGAGAAGCGGCCGTAAGACAAACCCTAAACCCTAAACCCTAAACCCTAAACCCTAATTGGGAGTAGCTGCTGTGCCCGTTCTAGAAGGCGTGAGCGCCTGGAAATTAAACAGCTAATCGCGCTTTATTTAATGACAATTAAAATAAATAAATAAATAAATAAATAAATAATAAATAAATAAATAAATAAATAAATAAATAAATAAATAAATAAATAAATAAATAAATAAATAAAGAGTTTTAATTAAAATTTGATTTTACTTTTCAACTTTCAATTTTCAGGACTGCGTTGGTGCTGCTGGGCGACTCGAGGTGTACAGACACCTCAGATGTCTTCGCCACTTTCTTCGGAGTTGCTCGAGCCTTCTTTCGGCTGTCTCAGCTGCAGCCGAGGGTTTTATTTGCCAAAGTCCCTAAACCCTAAACCCTAAACCCTAAACCCTAAACCCTAAGCCCTTGGTCTGCGCCCCAGGCTCCACAGGCTGCTGGCCGCGCGCAAACCCTAAACCCTTCGCACTTCACTCAGCAGCTGCCCCAACCCGGGGGCCGGGTCCAGGGTTTGCACTCTAGGGTTTAGGGTTTAGGGTTTAGGGTTTAGGGTTTAGGGTTTAGGGTTTGCGCAGGTCTTGCGGAAAGCCGAAGGGTCTGGCCAAAGGCGGGGGGTGCGCTACGGGGACAAAAACGCCTGTGAGATGTATCTGCGATATGAGCAGCACTTGCCAGCAGCAGCAGCAGCAGCAGCAGCAGCAGCAGCAGGAGACGGTCCAGCAGCAGCAGCAGCAGCAGAGCCAGCAGCAGCAGCAGCAGGGGAGCCAGCAGCAGCAGCAGCTGCGGAGCAGCCAGAGGGAGAATACATGACGCTTTTTCTCCCTGAAAACTCAACAGAGGAAGAAATCAAACTCCAAATCATCAAGTAAACCCTAAACCCTAAACCCTAAACCCTAAACCCTCGATTTAGGCCTATACGTCAGGGGCCACCTCTAGAGACGGCACACGCCTTTCCCCTACCCGCTGTTATCTCCTGGAACACTGTTTAGGGTTTAGGGTTTGGGAAAGAGAACGCAGACTCAAGGGTTAGGGTTTAGGGTTTAGGGTTTAGGGTTTAGGGTTTAGGGTTTATGTCCCTTCAGGCTTGCTTATCCCACCTCTCTGCGGGCCCCGAACAAAACCTTTTTGGATGAGCTCCTCTTCGAGTTTCCCCAGACGCTACTTCGCTTTTTCGAAAAACGTAGGGTTTAGGGTTTAGGGTTTAGGGTTTGGGGTTTAAATTCTGGCTCTAGGCTTCAGGACTTAGGGTTTAGGGTTTAGGGTTTTGCTTTCTCCAGCCGCGGCGGAGCTGTGCGCTTCAAGAAGGGCTGCCTTTCTTGTAATGGCGTTTAGAGTTTAGTGTTTAGGGTTTCGGCTTTAGGGTTTAGGGTTTAGGGTTTAGGGCTTCGGCTTTAGGGTTTAGGGTTTAGGGTTTAGGGTTTGCATGCTGCAGCTGCTGACATAAACCCTGTGCCTTCGGCGGTTTCTGTGGCTTCGACTCGGCTGCCGATTGTGGACGTTTATGACCCGACTTTGGCTGCGGCCTTCAATGTAAACCCTAAACCCTAAACCCTAAACCCTAAACCCTAAACCCTTGCTGCTGTTTCTGCAGCGAGCGCTCGCAGGCTGCACAGAGGTTTATGGACCCAAGGGATGCGGCACCTGCACACGGCGGTGCTCAAGGGTTTGAGTCGAGGGTTGAGGGTTTAGGGTTTAGGGTTTAGGGTTTAGGGTTTAGGGTTTAGGGTTTGTGCAGGTGGAGCCTCCCTGCCAGCTGTTGCTGAAGCCCAAGGGTTTCCGCAAAGAATTTTCTCTGAGTGAAGACAGAGAAGAACAAGTGAGCCTTTTTCCTCTTTTTCCCTCTTCTAGGGTTTAGGGTTTAGGGTTTAGGGTTTAGGGTTTAGGGTTTAGGGTTTAGGGTTTATGGTTTGTTTGGTGTTTAGGGTTTAGGGTTTAGTATTTAGAGTTTTAGAGTTTAGGGTTTAGGGTTTGGGGTTTAGGGTTTGGGGTTTTGGGCCGCAAAGGCATTCCTCTTTCCCAGCGCCATTCCGCGTCTTCACAGCACTTCGCTTGATTCATGAGGGTTTAGGGTTTCGGGATTAGGGTTTCGGGTTTAGGGTTTAGGGTTTAGGGTTTAGGGTTTAGGGTTTAGGGTTTGGGACTGTGCTTCAGCGCCGTTTGATCGAAGCCCTGGAAGAAGAGACGCCCGCCGTTGTCAGCTTAACCAGCCTCACGGCTGCCTCGGTGAGCAGCTAGGGTTTAGGGTTTAGGGTTTAGGGTTAAGGGTTTAGGGTTTAGGGTTTGGGGTTCAGGGTTTAGGGTTTGGGGTTCAGGGTTTAGAAGTCGAGCTATTCTGGGATGCCGCAGCCTGGGCGCCACAAAGTGTGGTTTGTGCATGGGAGGGGTTTTGCTTCAACTGTGAAGCCTCAAGGGTTTAGGGTTTAGGGTTTAGGGTTTAGGGTTTAGGGTTTAGGGTTTGATTGCGCAGATTTTTACTGAACTGCGTCCTGTCGTGTTCCTCTTTGGCGGCTCTGAGCCCGCTATTTCTGAGGACTTTGCGGTTCGTCATTCGGGTTTAGGGTTTAGGGTTTAGGGTTTAGGGTTTAGGGTTTAGAGTTTTGGGTTTGCGAGGGTTTAGGGCTTTGGCACAAAAAATTGCAGTGTACGTACACCTGAGATTAACTCTTCCGCCGCGCCTAGGGTTTAGGGTTTAGGGTTTAGGGTTTAGGGTTTAGGGTTTAGGGTTTAGGGTTTGTGGTGCAGTTCGCAGAGGCTGCTGCTGCCTTCGACAAATCAGTTTTGTTCTGCTCGGCTGTCATTCCTTCTACTTTGCAACTGCGCGCAATGAGCTACTTGGGAATTGAAGAAACTGCAAAACCCCAGGTTAGGGTTTAGGGTTTAGGGTTTAGGGTTTAGGGTTTAGGGTTTAGGGTTCAGGTATCGTTTTGTGCCGCTGCTCGCGCCTCCCAACGCCGCTTTTTAAACGCCCAACGAGCTAATGAACTATTTATCATTTATTTATTTATTTATTTATTTATTTATTTATTTATTTATTTATTTATTTTTATTATTTATTTATTTATTTATTTTTATTTATTTATTTATTTATTTATTTAGGTTGTAATTGTTCGCGCCATAGACGACCCAAAGAAGCTGACGAAATTTGTTTGCGGAAATGCCGAAAGCAAAAAGACAATTCTTGAGTGCCTCAGTAGGAGCCAACAAATAAATAAATTAATTAATTAATTAATTAATTAAAATAAATAAATTAAAATAAATAAATTAAAATAAATAAATTAAAATAAATAAATAATAATTAATTAAAATAAATTGCAAAAGGAAAAATGGACGAGAATAAGGGAACAAGTCCGGAGCTCGCCGCCCCGCTGCTTCTCTTTTGCCTCCCCTAAACCCTAAACCCTAGGCGGCCAAACCCTAAAAAAGGGTTTGCGGTGCGTGGGTTCCTTGTGCGCTGCAGCCAAGTTCAAAGAAGGAAAACTCAAACCCTACTACAAGTCCGCGAAACCCCCGAAAGTGCAAAAAGGGCCTGTCTACGTGAGCGAGGGTTTGAGAGGGTTTAGGGTTTGAGAGGACTTGGGGTTTGAGAGGGTTTAGGGTTTGAGAGGATTTGGGGTTTGAGAGGGTTTAGGGTTTGGGAGGGCCTAGGGTTTGGGGTTCAGGGTTTTGGGGTTTCAGCTCTTTGTATGGTTTGAATTTTGGAGGGGCTAGAGTTTGGGAGGGTTCGGGGTTTCTAAGGGTTTAGGGTTTAGGAGGGTTTAGGGTTTGGGGGGGCTTAGGGTCTACTAGGTGTACGTAAGGGTTTGGGGTTTATGAGGGTTTGCAGTTTGTTCTCTGTTCCTAGAATTCTAGGGTTTAGGGTTTAGGGTTTAGGGTTTCGATGCCCCAGTGTTTAGGGGGCCCTGGGCGTGCCCGGGTTAAGCGCTCAGGGTCTAGGGTTCAGGGCTTAGGGTTTAGGGTTTAGGGTTTAGGGTTTAGGGTTTAGGGTTTAGGGTTTGGGCCCGCAGGAGCTGGTGGCTTCGCGTTTCAAGTCGGTGGTTTTGGAATCCAACAAAGATGTTTTGCTGCTGATCTACAGTTCCTCTTGTCCCCACAGCGCCATCTTCATGCCAGTATTTGAAGAGGTTCCTAAACCCTAAACCCTAAACCCTAAACCCTAAGGCCCCAGGCCTAGTTGTGGCTAAACCCTAAACCCTCGGCAGCAGCGGCGGCGCCGCGGCCCCGGAAGGCCAGGAGAGACGCGGAGATGCTAAACCCTAGCCAAACCCTAAACCCTAGTCAAACCCTAAACCCTAGACAAACCCCAGCCAAACCCTAAACCCTAGCTGAGTCCTAAACCCTAGCCAAACCCTAAACTGCAGCCAAATTCTAAACCCTAATTGCCAAACCCTCCTCACCTGCTTATCGAAATTGTCAGCAAGTTGGCCCGTTACTCGCGAGGGTTTAGGGTTTAGGGTTTAGGGTTTAGGGTTTGGGGTTTGTGTTGCAGCTTGCCATGCGGCTCGCAAACGAGGAGTCGCTGCTGCTGGCGCGAGTGGAAGGAACAGAAAATGACATACCAGGTTTGACTGTTGCTGCTGCTGCTGCTGCTGCTGCTGCAGACTCAGCAGCAGCAGCAGACCCAGCAGCAGCAGCAGCAGCAGCAGCAGCAGCAGCAGCAGCAGCAGAAGGGGTGGCCATAGACCCTGACGTGGTCAGCAGCCACGGCTATCCCGTTGTAGTATTCTTTGGGAAGGCTCCGCCGAAGGCTCTAAACCCTAGCGAAACCCTAAACCCTAGCGAAACCCTAAACCCTAGCGAAACCCTAAACCCTAGCGAAACCCTAAACCCTAGCGAAACCCTAAACCCTAAAGTGCCCATTGTCTACACGGGGCCTCGAAATGTAAACTCTCTTTTTCAGTTTGTAGTTTCCCAAACAACGCTGCAGCCCCACGAGGACTTGTGAGCCAAACCCTAAACCCTAAACCCTAAACCCTAAACCCTAAAAAGCCGTTTTCGCGTTTTTTGTTGAAATGTACAAGTAGACATTTCTTATCTCGAATTGCCTGAGGGTTTAGGGTTTAGGGTTTAGGGTTTTGGAACTTTCCACTGAATAAATAAAAAGTAAAAACAAAAATGTCTTTTTCAAACTCTCATTGTTTGCTGCCGCAATGGCCGCAAAACAGGGAGACGGCCCGTAGCTGCTGCTGCTGCTGCTGCAGCTTTTTGTGCTGCTGCTGCTGCTGCAGCTTTTTGTGCTGCTGCTGCTGCTGCAGCAACAGCAGCAGCGTATGTTCGTGCCGCTACTGCTTTTTTTGCGGGGCAGCAGCAGCAGCAGCAGCAGTGCAGCTACCTACAGCAGCAGCAGCTGCTGTATTTGGCTGCGGAGCAGCAGCAGCAACAGCGCTGCTGCTGCTGCTGCTGCTGCTGCTGCTGAGTGCCCCCACACTGTCTAGGCCTCAAATAAACTATTTATTTGATTTCCTGCTCTCCTGGCCCTGCGCTATCCGCTCATTTAGGGTTTAGGGTTTAGGTACCCTAGGGTTTAGGAACTCGCGCAGTAAAGCAGCGCCTCCCTACAGTTCATACCCTTCTCAAGCGCTAAACTATAAACCCTAATTTGGGGCTAAACCCTAAACCCTAATTTGGGGCTAAACCCTAAACCCTAATTTGGCAGTATTCATCCTGAATGGCGCTAAACCCTGGCTACTTCCTAAACCCTAATCTAGTGTCCAGCAAGACCACTCTCTCTACACTCAGCAGCAGCTGCAGCAGCTGCAGCAGCAGCAGCAGCAGCTGCTGCTGCTGCTGCTGTTGCTGCTGCTGCGTCTGGACGCCATCAGCAACCACTCGCAGCAAAATACAAAGTTTGCTCAGTCTATGCGGCAAAGTATCGTGCTGCCGCAGCAGCAGCAGCAGCCGCTGCTGCAGTGGCTGCTGCTGCTGCTGCAGCACGGTTTGCTGCTGCAGTTGTAGCTGTTCCTCCAGCTTCACGTGTCACCCAGTTCGTTGCTGCGCCCCGCTGCAGCAGCTGCTGCAGCAGCAGCTGCAGCTGCAGCAGCAGCGCCGCCGCCGCCGCCGCTGCTGCTGCTGGTGCTGCTGCTGCTGCTGCTGCTGCTGCTGCTGTTGTGGGGTTTACTGCTTGGAGACTTCCTCGAAGTTTTGGACGAGGTCGGGTACGTCGTCGTCGGTTTGCTGCTGCTGCTGCTGCTGCTGCTGCTGGTTTTGTTTGCTGAACTTCTGGACTTGCTGCTGCAGGTGTTTGAGCATCTCGGAAGTGACAGCGGGCGCGTCTGCTGCTGCTGCTGCTGCTGCTGCTGCGCCGCGCGCATGCAGCAGCGGCTCCAGCTGCTGCTTCTCCTCCACAGCCCCCGAAAGAATGTAAGTGTTTGCTGCTGGAGCAGCAAGAACTTTGGGGGATTTAAAGAAAAGTCCCGTTGCATCTTTGCGCAGCAAATAAGCTTCTTCGATCCCGAAGACAGCAGCAGCACCGACGCGTTTTGCTGCTTGCTGCAGCCGCTTGTCTTCGCCAGCAGCAGACCGGTGGCTCTTTGCTGCTTTCCTTCTTGCTGTTCCTTTGCCCCCCAGCTGCTGCGTCTGCTGCAGTCGTTCCCGCAGCTTCGCCCGCGCAGCAGCAACAGCAGGACTCACTTCTTCCTCCATCGTCATTGCAGCAGCAGCAGCAGCAGCAGCAGCAGCAGCAGCAGCAGCAGCAGCAGCGGCGGCAGCGGCGGCGGCCGGGGGCTCCGTCGGCTCGAGCAGCAGCGGCTGCTGCTGCTGCAGCTAACGGCGCGAGATACCCACACTGGCGCTGCTGCTGGAAACCCTGCAGCAGCAGCAGCAGCAGCAGCAGCAGCAGCGGCGGCGGGACTGCAGCAGCAGCGGCGCAGCAGCACCACGAGCAGCAGCAGCAGCAGCAGACAAAACAAACTGCAAACCAGCTTTCAACCACTTGCTTCTTCGCCAGCAAAAACACCCACGTCCTGCTGCAGCACCCAGAAGCGCAGCAGCGCAGCAGCAGCAGCAGCAGCAGCAGCGCGCGTGGGGCGACTGCTGCTGCAGCTCCGCGGCCGCTGCTGCAATGTGCAGGGCTGCTGCTGCTGCTGCTCCTCCCAGCTCAACTCCCCTGCTGCTGCTGCTGCTGCTAATTATTTCTTTTTAAGCAGCAAATTCAACTCTTTTGGCTCTCCAGAGGCAGACACGCTGCAGCAGCAACCAAACGCGCACACTCCACGCAGCAGCCACCCCACAGCAGCAGCAGCTGCTGCTGCTGCTGCTGCTGCAGGTGGTGGTGGTGGTTGTGCTGCAGCACAGCAGCAGCAGCAGCAGCAGGCTGCAACTGCAGCAAGCAAAAGGGAACAAACAGCTTTAAGTAAAAATTCATAATGCAGCAGCAGCAAATGCTGCAGCAGCAGACACCGCCGGCTGCTGCTCTCGCTTCCTGGGGGCTGCCGGGGTGCTCTGTGCAGCAGCAGCAGCAGAATAAATAGGAATAATGGATTAAATTGCGTTTTTAATTCAATTAAATTCAAATAAATGTCAAAAATGCATTTAAAGTCGCAGTCCAGCTGCCGTTTTCTCCCCGCGTCTCTGAAGATCGAGCTGTCTGTACACCCCGGCGCCGCGGGCTCCTGAACTCCAGAAAACGGAATTATGCCATTTCTGGCAGCAAATAAAACAAAAAATGCCATTTCTAGCAGCAAATAAATCAAATTGTGGCATTTCTGGCACCAAATAAGTCCAATTTAGTGCCATTTAGACCCCAAACGGCGCACTTGCCAAGAAGTTCGGGTGTACGTACAGATGAGGCGGGTGTACATGTACGTACACCCCGTGGCTCGGGACCGTTTCTCTCCAGTTTCGCTCCGCCAGAATTAAATATTCTTTTTAAACTTATTTATGAATTATTTAATTAAAATAAATTAAATTAAAAATAATATTTTCAATTGAAAAGACCAATTCAACAGCTAGCTAGACTGCTGCAGCACTGCTGCTGCCAGAAGTAGTGGTAGCTCAGCTGCTGCTGCTGGGGAAATAAACCACGAATTAGGGTTTAGGGTTTAGAGTTTGTGGGGGCCTGGGGCCTCAAAGCGCGTGGGCAGCTTAGGATTAGCTTTGGAGTTTTGTGAAGCGCAGCAGCAAGGAGAAGCACTGCAGCAGCAAAGCAACTGCAGCAGAGCAGCAGGAAGAGTTGCTGCTGCTGCCCCGACGGTAACAAACCCGCGTCAGCAGCAGCAGCAGCAGCAGCAGCAGCTTCTGTCGGTCTCTGCTGCAGCAGCACGTGCTGCAGCAGCACGTGCTGCAGCAGCAGTGCAATTAGCTTTGCTCAGTGTTTGTGGAAACAGTTGAAGTCGCGCTGCAGCTCATCCCGCTGCTGCTGCTGCTGCTGCTGTTGCTGCTGCTGCGATTGCTGCTGCTGCTGCTGCAGCTGCAGCTGCCCCTGGTTCAAGGTCTGCTGCGCGTGGCGTCCTGGTCCCCCCCCCCCCCCGCTGCTGCTGCTGCTGCTGCTGCTGCTGCTGCTGCGTCAGGCCTGGAGCTGCTGCTGCTGCTGCTTGGCAGCAGCAATGTTGGCCTGGGCAGTGTCTGAGAAGGCAGCTCGGATTTGCTGCATGAAGGCTTTTGCTGCTCTGCGGTGGGCCCTTCTGTGGAGGCGGACTTGCTGCTTCTTGTGCTGCAGCAGCTGCTGCTGCTTGCTGCCGGTTTGCTGCTGCAGCTTGGCGTTTCTCTTGAGGTTTGCTGCAGCGGGGTTGACGCGGCGCAGCACGGCTGCGTTGGTGAGCAGGTTCTTGTGCTGCCGCCTTCGCTGCTGCTGCTGCTGCTGCTGCTGCTGCTGCTGCTGCGGGCGCAGCACGGCCTGGACTTCGTCGCTGTTGACCACGCGGGCCACGTCGCAGTTCTGCAGCAAAGGCCGCAGCAAATGGTACTGCTGCTTCCGTGCTGCAGCAGCAAGACTGGCGGGGTCTCCGAAGAGCTGCTGCAGCTGCTGCAGCGCAGCAGCAGTGAAGACACACAGCCGCCCCACAACCCCACCAGGCGCCAGCAGCAACACACTCAAACGCTCCACGCTGCAGCAGTCAACTCCGGGGATGTTTCTAAAAGCCCTGGAGACACTTTTGTCTCCTTCATAAACCAACAAAGGTCCCCTTTTGCTGCGGAACCTGCGGCTGCGGCTTTTGCCGCGGCCGGCGCGCAGTTTGCTGCTGCAGCGCACGCGCTGCAGCTCCTGCTGCAGTCCCAGCTGCTGCAGCAGCAGCAAACCTTCCCGTGTCTTCCTGAGCTGCTGCGCCCGCTGCTCCACCACCAGCGGCAGCTCCTTGACCTCCTCCACCTTATGCCCCCGAGCAGCAACCAGCGCCGGCACTGCAGCAGCAGCAAGCGCAGCAGCAACCGCGTGCCGCCTGCTGCTGCTGCTGCTGCTGCTGCTGCACCACCGCCGCCAAACCCTCGTCGGGCCAAACAGCCCCCCCCCCCTACACATATTCCCATAAGCCCCCTGGCCGCAGCGGTGGGAGCCGCCGCCTTTGACTCTGGGGACTCTGCTGACGGCTCTGCCAGTCCCCCAGCTTGCTGCGCTGCTGCTGCGTCCCGCGCTGCTGCTGACGGCGTAGGGCTGTCTGCTGCTGCTGCTGCTGCTGCGCCACGCTGCTGCTACGAGGTCCGGGCGGATTGCTGCAGCAAACACTCCGGGGAGGGGGAGGGTCCCGCAGCGACGGCCAGACAGGTCGTAGACCCCCACGCAAGGACGCACTGTCGACATCCTGCTGCTGCTGCTGCTGCTGCTGCTGCTGCTGCGAGGGGGGAGAAGAAGCGAGTTCGACGCTGCTGCAGCACACGAAGCAGCAGCAGCAGCAGCAGCAGAGGGGGAGGATGCAGGAACCAGCAGCGGAGCCGCACCCGCACCCTACCGACAGCAGCAGCAACAGCAGCAGCAGCAGCAGCAGCAGCAGCAGCAGCGGCAGCAGCGGCGGTTTCTGGAGGCAACTCTTCGAAGGAAGACGCACCCAATTCGCAAAACGGAAAAACGGAAAGCCAGCAGCAGCAGCAGCAGCAGCAGCAGCACGAGCAGCAGCCGATCCCCACCCGAGCAGCAGCAGCAGCAGCACCGCAGACAGCAAGGCCACGAGCAGCAGCAGCAGCAGCAGCAGAAACCAAAAAGCCGGAACTTACCTTTCAACACGAAATTTCCCCTTTTTAAATCGCAATTTGCTGCCCCTAACCTCACCCACTGCTGCTGCTGCAGCAGCAGCTGCTGCTGCTGCTGCGGGTGGTGGCCCCGCAGCAGCAGCAGCAGCCCTCAAGCCGCCGCTGCTGCTGCCGCGCCGCTGCTGCTGCGCTGCTGCTGCTGCTGCTCCGCCAGCAGCAGCAGCTGCTGCTCAGAACCTGAGAGCGATCCTAGTGTAAACTTTACGAAAAAGTGCTTTCTTTGTTTCTTTTCTTGTTAACAACTCTCTTGACTCATTTTCAACTTTTGCTGCTGCTTCCCCGCTGCTGCTGCTGCTGCTGCCGAGCCGCTGCTGCTGCTGCTGCTGCTCCTCTTGTGGAGACGCGGATCGTCGATTCAGACCTGCCCCCCGCTGCAGCAGCAGCAGCAGCTGCTGCTCCCCGCCCTGCAGTTCCCCTCAAACAGTTTCCTGCTGCAGCTGCTGCTGCCCCTCTGCACCTTCCCGCCGCTGCTGCTGCTGCTGCTGCTGCTGCTGCTGCTGCCGCCGCTCACCTGCGTTGACTGGAGGCGACAATGCGCCACTTGCTGCTGGTGTGTGTTGCTGCTGCTCTGGGCTGCGGAGGCCCCTCTGCTGCTGCTGCTGCTGCTGCTGGCGGCCAGCGCGACAGGCTCAGGCCCCAGCAGCAGCAGCAGCAGCAGCAGCAGCAGCAGCAGCAGCACCTCGAGGATGAAGAGCCCCTTGACCTGTCCTTCGAAGAGTTCGTTGCTGGAGAAGGGCTGGAAGAGGAGGAGGAGCAGCAGCAGCAAACCACCAGCAGCAACCCGGACAGCAGCAGCAGCAGCAGCAGCAGCTGGGGCGTCAGCAAACTGCTCGATGCAGCAGAAGCAGCAGGAAAGGCCTTCGCCGAGTCGCTGCTCTCCGTGGGCCCGCTGCAGCAGCTGCTGCAGCAGCAGGAAGAGCAGCAGGAGCAGCAGCAAGAAGATGAGGACTTGGACTATGAAGAAGAAGACTTCTTTGCTGCTGCTGAGCCTGAGGGGGGCTTGAGCCGCGTGTCTGCTGCAGCACGAGGGGGCGTTGCTGCTGCTGCTGCTGCTGTTGCTGCAGCAGAGCAGCAGACACAGTCGCTGGCCGCTTCCGTGGCAGCAGCAGGCGCGCAGGCGCAGCAGCAGCTGCAGCAACTCTACGGATCCGTGCTGCAGCAGGCGCAGGGCTTTGCTGCTGCAGCAGCAGAAACAACTGCAGCAAAAGACCTGCAGCACGTGCTGCTGCTGCTGTCCAAAGGAGAGACCCTGTCTTTCTCGGATCCTGCAGTGCGGCGCTGCGCCAATGGACTCTCTTTCGTGTTTGCTGCTGCTGCTGCTGCTGCTGCAGCAGCAGCAGCAGACAAGCAAGCGGGCGGCAGCATCTTAGCTGCCATACTCAAGGCGCTCGCGGAGGGCAGCAGCAGCAGAGGCAGCAGCAGCAGAGGCAGCAGCAGCAGAGGCAGCAGCAGCAGGGGCACCAGCAGCAGCAAGAGGAGAAACCGGCGCCTGAGAACCAAACACAGGCTGGAGCAGCAGCAGCAGCTGCTGCTGCAGCAGCAGCAGCAGCAGCGCAGGCGCCGCAGGCAGCCAGAGCCGCAGCAAGGAGACACCGAAAGCATAACTGCAGCAGTTCTCAGTGCCTTGCTGGCAGCAACAAACTCCAGCAAACAGGAGCCCCACGTCGAGCAGCAGCAGCAGCAGCAGCAGCAGCAGCAGCAGAAGCAGCAGCTCCAGCAGCTGGAGCAGCAACAGCAGCAGCTGGAACAGCTCAAGCAGCAACTCGCGCAGCTGCAGCAGCAGATCGCTGGTCAAAAGTAAGCGCATGTGTGCCGCCGCATATGCTGCTGCAGCCCCTGCAGCAACAGCAGCAGCAGCAGCAGCAGCAGCAGCAGCAGCAGCAGCAGCAGGTACTTGACTGTATTGTATATACACCTAGAGTGAAGGCAGCAGTTTGCTGCCCATTCTTTGGGCCCTCATAATTCACATTTTTGCAGCCGGACCAGCACCTAGCTAGCTAGCTAGCTAGCTAGCTAGCCAGCCAGCTAGCTACACAGCTAGCTAGCTAGCTAGCTAGCCAGCTAGCTAGCTACACGGCCAGCCAGCTAGCCGCAGGGCTAGCCCCCAGCTAGCTAGCTAGCTGTGCAGCTAGCCAGCTAACTAGCTAGCTAGCTAGCTGTGCAGCTAGCTAGCTAGCTAGCTGGCTAGCTGGAAGACCGAATAGCTGATGGTCGGGCGAGAGAGCTGCTACTTGTGGCTAGCTAGGCGGCTAGCTACCGAGGTGGCTAGCTAGCTGGCTAGCTAGGCAGCTAGCCAGCGAGGTAGCTAGCTAGCTAGCTAGCTAGCTAGCTAGCTAGCTAGCTAGCCAGCGAATTTGCTAGGTAGCTCGGCCGGCGTGGCTAGCTAGCTAGCCAGCTAGCTAGCTAGCCAGCGGGATGCCCCGCCCCGCAGTACCGGGCGGCTTCGTTTGAAGGCAGCAGCAGCAGTTTCTGCTGCTGCTGCTGCTGCTGCTGCTACCAAACTTGTAAGGAATGAAGTCCCGTACATACGTGGGGTTGCTGCTGCTGCTGCTGCGGCAGCAGCAGCAGCAGCTGCGGCAGCTGATAGCAGCTAGCCAGAACACACACGTACTTCTACGTAGCGGAAGCAGCAGCAGCTGCTGCTGCTGCTGCCGCACCAGCTGCTGCGGCAGCTTCTACTGGTGCAGCTGCTGCTAGTGCAGCAGCTGCTGCAGCTGCTGCGAGTGCAGCAGCACCAGCTGCTGCGGCTAGTGCAGCAGCAGCTGCTGCTGCTACAGCTGCTGCGAGTGCAGCAGCACCAGCTGCTGCGGTTAGTGCAGCTGCTGCTGCTACAGCTGCTGCGAGTGCAGCAGCACCAGCAGCTGCTGCTAGTGCAGCAGCTGCTGCTAGTGCAGCAGCTGCTGCTGCAGCTGCTGCTAGTTGAGCACCTGCTGCTGCTGCACTAGATATCTAGCAGCAAATTTTGAAGTGCCCATGTCCACACGGAGGGGGAGGGGGCTCTTTCTGCTGCTGCTGCTGCTGCTGCTGCTGCTGCTGTGTCTCGCTCCCTGGTTTGCTGCTGCAGTGCTGCAGCATCTGCTGCTGCCAGGGCTGTCTCCCCACTAACGAGGTCCCAGCAGCGGCAGAAGCCCGGCGGCTGCTGCTGCTTCACCCGCAGGAACTTGCTGCTGCTGCTGCTGCTGCTGCTGCTGCTGCTGTGCTGCTGCTGCTGCTCTGGGGAGCAGCGCCTGACGAGCTCCACGAGGAGACTCTTGTGGCACTCAGGGCACTCCTTTAGAGACTCGCGCAGCACTTGCTGCTGCTGCTGCTGCTGCTGCTGCTGCTGCTGCTCTTGGTCTGTAGATGTGCTGCAGACACACGTGCTGCATGCGGTGGCCCTACTGCTGCTGCTGCAGTGATGCAACCTGCTGCTGCTGCTGCAGTGGTGCAGCCTGCTGCTGCTGCTGCTGCTCCAAGGGTAGCAGCAGCCGGAGCAAGGCCGCCAGTGCCCCAATAAGCTGCTGCAGTTGTTGCTGCAGTTGTTGCTGCAGTTGTTGCTGCAGTTGTTGCTGCAGTTGTTGCTGCAGTTGTTGCTGCAGCTGCTGTCCAGGTCGGCAGCACCGGCTGGATGACTGCAGCAGCAGCAGCTGCTGCTGCTGCAGCTGGTGGGGCAGAGGCTATGGCATCTCCTGCATGCTGTCTGCTGCTGCTGCTGCTGCTGCTGCTGCTCGCAGTCAAAAAAGCAAACGCTGCCGCCCCTACCGCAGTGCATGCAGCAGCTCTGCTGCTGCAGCAGCAGCACATCTGCTCTCGGGGCTGTGGGGCCGCAGCAGCAAGTTGCTGCACTGGTGCTGCTGCAGCGGCTGCCCCACGAAGAAACCTCCCACTGATGGTTTAGAGCAGCTAAAGCCTCTTGCTGCTGCTGTTGCCGTTGCTGCTGCTGCTGCTGCTGCTGCTGCTGCTGCTGCTGCTGCTGTTCGTTCCGCCGCAGCAAGCGAAGGTGCTGCTCCTGCTGCTCCAGTTGCTGCACCAGCAACGTGACAGAAGGAGAGCTGCTGCTGCTGCTGCTGCTGCTGCTGCGTTGGCCTGTCTTGCTGCCTCGGTTGCTGGTGCTGCAGTAGCTGCTGCTCCAGTCAGCTTGCTCTCCTGCTGCACTTGCTGCTGCTGCTGCTGCTGCGGTGGCAGCTGCAGCGGCTGCAGAGCGCTCCGCATTCTCTTGCTGCAGCTGCTGCAGCCTCAGCCGCAGCTGCTGCTCCTCACACCGGAGGCGCTCCCTTTGCTGCTGCAGAAGTTGCTGCTGCAGCAGAAGCGGCTGCTGCTGCAGTGGCGGCAGAAGTTGCTGCTGCTGCTGCTGCTGCAAGGGCAGCAGACACTCATGAGCTCCTAGGTACTGCGTCTGCGACTTTTCGAAAGCAGCGCTCTGCTGTTGCTGCTGCTGCTGATGCTGCTGTTGTTGCTGCTGCTGCTGTTGCTGTTGCTGCTGCTGCTGCTGCTGCTTAGGCGAAGGGGATGGGCATGGTGATCCCTCTCTATCTAGGCTGCTGCTGCTCTTGCTGCTGCGGACAGCAGCAGCAGCAGCAACAGCAGTAGCCTGAAGCAGAGCGGGCGGCGCCCCTAAGCCGAAGTCATCAGCTGCAGCAGCGGCTGGTTCTGCTGCTGCTGCTGCTGCTGCTGCTGCAGCTGCTGCTGCTGCATGAAGTTCAGCGAAACGGGCGCCGTAGTTTTGCTGTTGCTGTGGCTGCTGCTGCTGCAGTGCAGCTCCAGCGGCAACGACAGCAGCAGCAGCTGCTCGATCTGCTGCTGCTGCTGGAGACTCCCCACATGAGTCTTCTGTCATCCATAAGAGACACCGAAGACGGCCTTGTCTCCATCTGCAGCAGCAGCAGTTGCTGCTGCTGCTGCTGCTGACCTGCTCGTGCTGCGCTGCTGCAGCTGCTGCGGACTTGCTGCTGCGGCTACTGCCGGTCTGCTGCTGCTGCGCTGAAGTACCTTCACCCAATTCTCTGGCTTTTTCTTCTTCGCCTGATATCTCTACATCAGCAGTTTGAGTTGCTGCTGCTGCTGCTGCTGCTGCTGCTGCTGCTGCTGCTCTTGCTGTTGCTGCGCCTTCTGCTGCTGTGCTGCGTCAAGCAGCAGCAGCGCGCCAGCAGCAGCAGCAACGAGGATGCTGCTTCGTCTGCTTCTAAAGAAAATAATCCACAATTGTGACTCGAATTACCATTTTCTTGCGAATGACAGCAGCAGCAGCAGCAGCTGCTGCTGCTGCTGCTGCTGCTGCGGCTACTGAACATTGCCAAACGCAGCCCCAGGGGGGCCCCAGGCATCAGCAGCAGCAGCTGCTGCTGCTGCTCCCGCGTTAGTTTCAAGTCATAAATATTTGGTGAGTTAGAAGTCTCACGGCATGCCTTGATTGCCTGCCTCTGTGCTGCTGCTGCTGCTGCTGCTGCTGCTGCTCCTGTGTTACAGGAGGAGCAGCAGCAAGAACAGCCGAAAGCTACAGCAGCAGCAGCAGCAGCAGCAAATTTGCTGCAGCTACCTTATGGAGCAGTAGACCATCTTCGCGGTTCAGGCCTTAGCCTGGGGCCCTGTAGCAGCAGCAGCAGCAGCAGCTGCCGCTGCAGCAGTACTCACTGCTGCCTTCAGTGCTGCTGCTGCTGCTGCTGTGAGTGTCGCCGCAGCAACAGCTATTGCGTTGAAGCTGCAGCAGCAGCAGCAGCAGGCGGCCTTCCTCTTTCCAGCTGCTTACCTCCCTGAAATGAGTGAGGTAGCCCCTGCTGCAGCAGCACCTGCAGCAGCAGCAGCAGCTGCTGCAGCAGCAGCAGCAGCAGCTGCAGCAGCAGCAGCAGCACCTGCAGCGGCAGATGTTGCGCCTCCCCCACCAGGAGAGATGTTTGCGGGTGTTCCTGCAGCAGACGCAACAGCAGCAGGGGGCACAGCGCCTGCAGCAGCAGCTGCAGCAGCAGCAACAGCAGCAGCAGCAACAGCAGCAGCAGCAACAGCAGCAGCACCAGCAGCAGCAGCAGCAAAGATCTCCGTGGTCACACCGGAGACAGTTGAGCGGCTGCTGAAGCGCCTACACCCCAACGCCTCTGCTACCCCCGAGTGTTTGGAGGCAAGCTCTAAACCCCAAACCCTAAACCCTAAACCCTAAACCCTAAACCCTAGTTAGTGTTTCTTGCCATTTTGGTCGTTTTCTCGAGCCCCGCCTTCTCTTGTGCCCAAACAAATGGCGACTCAAAGGGCTCCCAAGGGTTCATTGCCTGGGGCCAGGGTTTGGGGTTTAGGGTTTAGGGTTTAGGGTTTAGGGTTTAGGGTTTAGGGTTTGGCGCAGGCCGTGGCGGAAATGGCTGAGGCCTACGTGGAGCAGCTGGGCCGACTTTTGGCTGTAATCGGCAGGCGCTGGGGTGTATGTACAGTGACCCTCAGAGACGCCAAGGCCTTCCTCGGTAAACCCTAAACCCTAAACCCTAAACCCTAAACCCTAAACCCTAGGACGCGCTGCAAACCCTCGCTGTCGCTTCCCCGCAGCCCCGCAGCTCGTGTACTTCAGCTAGGGTTTAGGGTTTTGCTTTCTTGCCGGGGGCTTTCAGTGTGCAGGGTTTAGGGTTTAGGGTTTAGGGTTTAGGGTTTAGGGTTTAGGGTTTGCGTGCAGAGCGCACTTCGGGCTCCCCCGGCTGGCAGTCAATGGCGGGAGGAGGCCCTGCAGCAGCAGCAGCAGCAAGCAAGGGCGTGCTTGCTGCAGCGCGGCAGCAGCAGCAGTTGCTGCACGCGCAAATGCGCGCAGCAGCAGCAGCAGCAGCAGCAGGCGAGTCGCCGCCCCACAGCAGCAGCAGCAGCAGCAGCATCACCGACAGCCCGCAGACGGACATTACTGTGAAGGCAGCCCCCGAGACTCCTGTTGCTGCTGCTTCTCCCAAGCGCAGCAGCAGCAGCAGCAGCAGCAGCAGCAGCAGCAGCAGCTCAGCGCCTCAGGCGCCGCCAAAGCCGCGGGTGCGTTTCTCGCAGGACACGTCTGCTGCTGCTGCTGCTGCTGACATCGCAGCAACAGCAGCAGCAGTAACCGCAGCAGCTACTCCCGCTGCAGCGGCTACACCTGCCGCAGCAGCTGCACCCGCTGCAGCAGCAGCACCCGCTGCAGCAGCAGCACCAGCAGCAGCAGCTGCAACTGCAGCAGCAGCACCAACTGCAGCAGCAACGCCAACTGCTCCAGCAGCACCAACTGCAGCAGCAGCGCCAACTGCTCCAGCAGCACCAACTGCAGCAGCAGCACCAACTGCAGCAGCAGCAGCAGCACCAGCTGCAGCAGCAGCACCAACTGCAGCAGCAGCACCAACAGCAGCAGCAACACGGGCAGCAGCAGGGACAAGTGCCCCGACTGCGCTGCAGCAACAGACTTTTTACCAGACTCCTCAGGAGGCGGAGTTTGCTGCAGCAGCAGCAGCAGCAGCAGCAGCAGCAGCAGCAGCAGGAATGTCTGCCCCGCAGTCCCCACCGGCTGTGACTCCCCCTAAAGGGCCCCCACCCCCTGCACAGGGGGCCCCCCACGGGGTCTCCCAAGGGGCCCCTCAGGGGGCCCTCCAGGGGGCCCCTCAGGGGCCCTCGGGGGCCCCAAGTACCCATTGGGGGCCCCCCCCTGCGGCTATGTCGGCGAGCCCCTGGGGGCCCCCCGAGGCCTCAGGGGCCCTTAAAGCCCCAGCGGCCCAAGGGGCCCCCAAAGCCCCCGGGGCCCCTGGGGTCCTGGGGCCCCCTGGGGCCCCTGGGGTCTTGGGGGCCCCTGGGGCCCCTGGGGCCTCTGGGGCCCCCGTGCCCTTGGGGGCCCCCGGGACCCCAGTGCCCTTGGGGGCCCCCGGGGCCCCTGCGTCCTTGGGGGCCCCTGGGGCCCCTGGGGTCCCTGGGTTTTGGGGGGCCCCTGGGGTATTGGGGCCCCCGGGGGCCCCCGGGATTTTGGGGGCCCCTGGGGCGGTGGGGGCCCCCAGTCCATATTGGGGGCCCCAGGGGCCCCTGGGGGCAGCAGCAGAGGGGGCCCCGAATCTTTTAAAAGAAACACCTCACCCGTACCCTAGCTAGCTGGCTCAGGCTGGCTAGCTAGCTAGCTAGCTAGCCAGATAGCTGGCCTTACCTGGCCGGCTAGCTAGCTAGCTAGCTAGCCACCTGTCCTTAGCTAACTGGCTGGCTATAACATTAGCTGGCTCCACCTAGCTAGCTTGCTAGCTAACCAGCTAGCTAGCTAGCTAGCCAGCTAGCTAGCTAACCAGCTAGCAAGCTAGCCATCTAGCTAGCTAGCTAGCCAGCTAGCTGGCTAGCTAACCGGCTAGCTAGCTAGCTAGCCAGCTAGCTGGCTAGCTAACCGGCTAGCTAGCTAGCTGTGGCTAGCTAGCTAGCTGCTTAGGGGAGAAGCGACATCTCACTGGCCCTATGCGTGTCTTGCTGCTTCCCAAATAGAGCCAACCGTGTAGCAAAAGCAGCAGCAGCAGCAGCAGCAGCTGCTGCTGCTGCTGCTGCTGCCGCAGCAAACTGTCTCGCCATATAATTTCTTCTGGTTCGCTCCTCTAGAGGCCGGCATTGTTTGCTGCTGCTGCTGCGCATTTGCTGCTGCTGCTGCGCATTTGCTGCTGCTGCTGCTGCGCATTTGCTGCTTCCGCTCGAGTTTTAGCTGCTGCTGCACTATAGCTGCTGCTGCAGCTGTACCTGTGCTGTTGCAGCTGGCACAGCCGTGGCTGCCGCTGCTGCTACAGCTGCTGCTGCTGCTGCAGCTCGTGCTGCTCCTGCGGCTGCTGCTGCTGCTGCAGCTTGTGCTGCTGCTACAGCTTCAGCTGCAGCTGCCACTACCTCTGCTGTTACCACTGCTACTGCCGCTGCGTCTGCTGCTGCTGCTACAGTTGCTGCTGCTGCTACACTTGCTGCAGCTGCTACTGTTTCTGCTGCTGCTGCAGCTGCTGCTACACCTGCTGCTGCTGGCAGCAAACATCCTCGCCACAAATCTGCATGCACTTAAACTTCAGCGTATCCGCTTCCCTTTGGAGTCTGGCGTTATTAGGGTTTAGGGTTTAGGGTTTAGGGTTTAGGCTGTCATTAGCGCGAGAGCTCCACGCTGACGCAGCAGAGGCAAACAAAATAGCAGCAGCAGCAGCAGCAGCAGCAAGTGCAGGTTCGCCGCTACGCCTTGTGCGCGGCAGCTTTGCTGCGCTCCACCTGCAGCGAACAGCAGCAGCAGCAGCAGCAGCAACGGCAGCTGCAGCAGCAGCAGCACCTTCTACGACGGCAGCAGCAGCAACAAGTGCAGCAGCGACGGCATTAGAGAAGCAAGCAAAAGCAGCAGCAGCAACCGTGGCCAGAGCAGAGAGCCCAGCAGCAACAGCAGCAGCAGCAACGGCAGCAGCAGCGACGGCAGCAGCAACCCCAGCAGCAGCAGCAGCAGCAGCAGCAGCAGCAGCAGCAGCAGGCGCACCGCCGTGAATCTGCCTCCTCCCCCGAAGTAGTCTCGCGAGTCCGGCTGCTGCTGCTGCTGCTGCTGCTGCTGCTGCTCAGCCAAAGGGTTGCAAAGCTCCAGCCCCTGCACAGGGGTGAAGCTCAGAGAGGAAGCAAACCCCGTGCTGCTGCTGCTGCCAGATGCTGCAGCAGCAGAAGACACTCCCTTGGGGTGCAGCTGCTGCTGCCGGCGGGCACCTGCAGCAACACGCCCCAGCAGCAGCTTTCCGGTTTGCTGCTGCAGCTTCGAGGGTTTGCTGCTGCCTTCCTTCGAATTCGCTGGGGATAAACCCCTTCAAGGGTTTAGGGTTTAGGGTTTAGGGTTTAGGGTTTAGGGTTTACTGAGCTGCGTCTTCTTCTGCTGCTTCGCCTGCAGCTTCAAACGCCCATTCGCGATGCTGCGCCCCAGCATGCCCAAACCCTTTGCTGCAGCAGCAGAGCAAGATGTCTAGGGTTTAGGGTTTAGGGTTTAGGGTTTAGGGTTTGGGGCACTTCTGAGGCCCAGGCAGTCCCGCGGGGCCCCAAATTTGGCGGTTTTCCGCCGCTTTTCTCTGCCTAGGGTTTAGGGTTTAGGGTTTAGGGTTTGGGTCAGTTCTGAGGCCCACAGTGTCCTGTTCTCCAAATCTGACCCTATTTAGCCGCTTTTCTCTGCCTAGGGTTTAGGGTTTAGGGTTTAGGGTTTAGGGTTTAGGGTTTGGGTCAGTTCTGAGGCCCAGAGAGTGCCCCAGCTGCCCAAATTTGGCGGTTTTTTTCTGCCTAGGGTTTAGGGTTTAGGGTTTAGGGTTTGGGTCACCTTTGAGGCCCACAGTGTCTTCCTGTTCTCCAAATTTAACTCTATTTAGTTGTTTTTGAATTTCCGAAAGTTCTCTTTTTTCCTTCAATCTCCGGTGCCTCTTTCCCCCCCTCTTCGGCTTCGCTCTGTCCTCAGGGGCTGGCAGCGCCTTCTTCACTGGCGCCGGGGGGGGCTCTTGCGCCTGCACCGCAAACCCTAAACCCTAAACCCTAAACCCTAAACCCTAAACCCTGGACCCTGGACCCTAAACCCTAAACCCTCGACCCGGGGCACTGAGCCCTATGGGCTATACTAACGCCCTCCGCCCCCGGTTTTCTTCACTGGCGCCGCGGAGCGCTCTTGTAAAACCCTAAACCCTAAACCCTAAACCCTAAACCCTAAACCCTAAACCCTGAACCATAAACCTGGAGACCGGGCCCTTCTCCCCGGGTCCTCAAACCTAAACCCTAGACCCTAAACCTCAGCTGTTCAGGGGGTGCGAGACGCAGCAAGCAACACACGTGGAATGCTTCGCCCAAACCCTAAGCCCTAAACCCTAAACCCTAAACCCTAAACCCTAAACCCCAAACCCTAAACCCTAAACCCTAAGCCCTGGATCCCAGCTCTAAACCCCGGACTGTGGACCTTAGAGAGCTGCTGCGACGGAGCCAGCAGCCAAGCGTGGCTGCGGAGGCTTTCTGCGGGGGCCGGCGAGCCAATCTCGCCTAGGGTTTAGGGTTTAGGGTTTAGGGTTTAGGGTTTGCACCTTCATGAGGGCCTGGACGATGAAGTCCCTGAGTGCCCTTCCGACTTCTCCGGGGGCCTGCGGGTTGTCGACCAGGCTGATGTTATTTGCTGCAGCGTCTTCCTCCTCGCCGTCGCCGCCCGCTGCTGCTGCTGCTGCTGCTGCTGCTGCTGCTGCTGCTGCTGCGGGTTTGCTGCCGTAAACGTCCACTCTTGCTGCTAAAGCCACCTTCCCAGCCAGCAGCCGCAAAGCCCTTTTCCGAAATGGCAAAGGAGTTAACATTACCAAATCGCTGGAGCTCAGCAGCGAAGCAAAGGCAGCAGCAGCGCCCCCCTTCGAAGACAGCGACAGGCTGCTGCGCTTCTGCGCGCCCACCAGCTGCAGCAGCAGCAGCAGCAGCAGCAGCAGCAGCAGCAGCAGCAGCAGCAGCAGCAGCAGCAGCAGCGGCGGCGGCGGCGGCAGGGTTCAGGTTTGCTGGCTAGGGTTTCGGACTTCGGCCCCGCCCCCAACATTAAGCTTCCCACACGCAGCCAGGGCTCTAACTCTACGCGAGGGCTTCGCCATTAGGGATTAGGGTTTAGGGTTTAGGGTTTAGGGTTTAGGGTTTAGAGCTTAGGAGGGTTTGAGGGTGCGTGGGGATTCCCCGCAGCCCGAGCGCCTGCGCGCGGGGTCTGCGAGTCGGAGCCTCAGGCCCTGCGGTTGTGTTCAGTGCTTAGGGTTTAGGGTTTAGGGTTTAGGGTTTAGGGTTTAGGGTTTGACCATGATGTTTTGCGCAGGCATCTTGGCGAGGGTTTCCAAACGGCCAACTTTCGTCAGAAGCCGCGCAGTCAGCGCAGCGCCCAAACCCAGGGCTTGTGTTCACTGCTTAGGATCTAGGGTTTAGGGTTTAGGGTTTAGGGTTTAGGGTT